TGTTGTTGTTGCTGCTGTCGCTGCTGGGGCGTCGACTGGCCGGACTGACGTCGCGAGCTGCTAGCCTGAGATTGGGCTTTTTTTTGTTGTAGTTATTCTTAACGTCTAATTCCGCCTCCCGTAGGGCATGAGACGTGCCACATCGGTGAATCTAGCACACAAAAATAGTAGCAGTGTCCTAACTGACCACCAAACCCTTTAATCCGAGGGCAAACCGAGGCCTATTGTTAGTGGAAATCATGTGTTGCCCATTGATACCGGTTCTGCCCGCTGGGCGAATATGCGTGGGCGTTCCATGAACGCCGTGGAGGAGCGACCGAGCGCCGCTTTTACAAGCGGGCAATCGCGAGAGAATGCAAAGTGTCCTTTGCGGTTGCAAGGTAAGCACTTCACGAGGTTGGGTTGTTGGTTGGAGGGGCAATCGGCTTCGGCATCCTTCATTGTCCTACCCGGGTGTCTCTTCTCGGCGCAGCGAGGGCAGCGTGCCTCTTTCTCCTTGGGGCAGTAGCTACGCAGATGACCGTACTCCCAGCAGTTGTAGCACTGTTGCGGGATTTCGTCACGCTCGAAAGGTTCACAATAGAATGCGTTGCCCATCCAGAGGAGGGAGTCGCTAGTGAGATGAACTCCATCGTCTGCAGTAGGAACTTCCAGGAGGAGAGAACCCCTCTCGCTCCCGTGCTTCCTCCGGAATGCCTTCGCTATGACAACGTTGATATTGTTCACTGCGGACAACTCCTTCGCCAGTTCCTCTGGTTCGAGGTTGTCGATGAGCGCCCACGGCACGCCACGGGCAATCACCGAGACCGTACGCAACGCGACCGTTGCTTCCGTCATATACTGGCGGCTCGCCCACTGGGCGATTCGATTATAAGTGTTGGGCCCCGTTTACGCTATGGGCAACACATGATTTACATTGGCAGTAGGCCTCAGTTTGCCCTCGGATAATGGTTTTGGTGGACAATTAGGGCACTGCTCTTAATTTTGTATGCTAGACTCACCGGTGCGGCACGTCTCATGCCCTACGGGAGGCGGAAGTAGACGTTAAAAATAACAACAACAACAACAACAAAAAAAGCAACGCGACCGTTGCGTCTTTGTGGAATGTGTGTGTCACCCAAGCTTGGTTCTACAGACACCACTTCCTCCCTTCTTCTCCGAAAGTAATAACGTAGTTTCCACTGAGACGTAGCTTCGTGACCGCCTTGGCATCGGCCTTGGGGAACTTCTGGTTGATTGCCTTCATGACATCGCTGGGTGTACGCCTCTCCTGATTAACAGAGTGGCTTATCGTTCAGTTTGACCGTGAGGCATCGTTCGGCTCGAAGGGGGACGAATGCCTGGGTGCCCATCGGGGCGAGGTGGGATCTCTTCAGGCCCGTCGGTCGGGTGTTCGGGTCCGCGGCTATGGTAGCCCAGGTCTTCGGGGGGGGGTCGCTTGCTTCTTTGCAATGGCGGCGACCATCTTCTTTAGCTTGTCCATGTCATTCCAAAGTTGCTCGGTAGTGTTGTCGTGGGGTTAAGGCGCCCAGCCTCGTGCACGCAGGATGTCCTTCGCGATTTCAAAAAAGTCTTTCCGCCCACGCCGCGCGAGCGTCTTGCGGGCTATTAACACCGGGGAAATTCATAGCCTCGAGAATAAACTTCGCTGCGTCTTCCTGAGGGGGGTTCGGGGCCGCCGGCCGTCGTTGTCGTCGTCGGTGTTCCGGCCATGGGATTACCGGACGCATGCCGGCTCGCCGTCAGACCGCCTCCATCGTCGACCAAGGACCCGCGTTTCAACGTCTTGCGAGCTATTTTTTAATTAAGGGATGATAGTACCTGATCAAGAAAAGTTCAGAAATACTAGTTTAGTATTCTAATACTAAGTTAGTATTTCTAGTAATCTTAATACTAAAAGTACTAAAGCAGTACTAAAGCAGTACTAAAAGTACTAAACTAGTGTTAACAATACTAAATTAGTATTGAACGTACTAAACCATTACTAGTCTAGATTTAAATAATATTTTAATCAAGGTTATTTAAATCGTATTATAACATATTAAAATAATAATAAAATATTATATTTTATTTCTCTTATTGGAAATTCAATATTAATTTTCTAGCTTTATTTCTTATACCTTTTATTAACCGTATATTCAAACTGTTATAATTAGATTTTAAAAATATCTTTTTGATTTACACTACCTTATTATATATATCTTTAATTATTCTTCATTTATACACAGTTCAAAAAGTAAGAAAAAAATAATTTTCAGAAATTAGTACTTCTAGTATACTAGTCTAGTACTGAGGCAGTACTAATACTAGAGTAGTACTAATTAATACGATACTAATTCCCAACTCTGCATCCATGCCAGTCATGAGTCATACAATCACCCCTCGGTAGCGACATCTAGGTGTGGATGGGACTAGCAGACATCTCTATCGCATCTGTCTCTTCAATGACACGCCCCGTAAGATTTTGCTGTCTCTGCAACAGCGGCCGCGAACTACCGAGCTCAGGGGTAGGTGGGGAATTTGTGGGTAGCTGGTAGACGTTCCCAGGAGCGCTTTGAGTTCGAAAACCCATCAGAGGAACGAGCAAAGCACCTGAGCTCGGGGAATCCCCCCTGGGCGCAGCAGGAGCAGTCTGATGGTGGGTAAAATCGGGCCTTTGTACGTTGCTACCGTCGTTGTACTCAGCCGGCGGGATGGGATTGTTAATGCCCAAGTTTAGGCCGTGGACGTTTCCACCATTAACTTGTGCAAACCCTGAGCCACGACTTCCCCCGATGCTCAAGTTGATGACATTCGATGGAGATGGAGTTGGTGCAGACCTTCCGGTCTCAGCCGAAGTGCCGCGGTGGAAGGAGAATTTCTGAGAGCGATTGTAGCTGGTTTTGCCGTTATCGAAAAGCCGGTTTGAGCTTCCATTATCACCACCTGGTGGTAGTCCGGAACTTCCTTTTCCTTTGCGCCGTTTGCGGAGGGCCAGAAATCCTAGAACAGCAACCACCGCAAGACCCAGAACAACGCCCAATACGATGCCCAAGACATTGACCGTTGTCTTATCATCGCCGGTATCCGACGATTTCTGTGTTGTCTGTGACATTGAAGCTGCGCCTGTATCTGAGGGTTGGGAACTGTGCGAGGATGGTGACGAGTTGGTTGGAGCCGCCACCGCGCGATAGAGCGTGTGGGCACTAAAGTCACCGTCACCACACCTCAAGTTCAACCAGCTTTTGGTTGAGGAGGGAAAGGTGTCGAAGATGGTCATCGTCACGCAGCGAGGTATTGTAGTATCGCTGTCAAAAAAGACGCGATGTTAGCAACGTGGCCCTATATACTGGACTTCACCTAGACATATGATGACTGGACGATGGTGAAAGGCAAGTAGCCCCGCCAACTCCGACAGTCAACATCAAGGGACCAGGTATTTTTACCAAATTTCCGTCTGACCGTTCCCGCGAGTTTTCGTCGCCTGACTACATTCTGTCACAAAGTAACACGTCGGATCTGATGTGGCGCAACATCCACCAAAGGTGCTTGATGTGCTCCACGTCCAGCCCGCGTGACAATTTGTTGTTGATCCTAAGTAACGACGAGAAGTCAGCGGGTGGACAACAGGAATACAATGCCCTGATGATTGAAGCTGAGGGCATAACATACTAGCGCCATCAGGGCGGATGTATACACCGTAAATGGTGTTGGGCACACTGGATATTGTCTGAGCGGTAACGCTGGAGATCTGCCAGAGACACAGAGCTGATAGCAGTGTGTGTCGAACGCCCAGAGGAAGAAAGGAAAGTTCGCTGGTGAGTTGAGCCATGTTGTACGGAAATAGGTGTGAACAGAGGGACGTCAACAGGAGAATGGAAGTTTCGAGCAAGATGCGACCCAGGGCCTGATGACAGAATGGGCGTTATCAAGGATGATGCCACAAGAGTGAAGAGTGAAGATCATAGATACCTCTAGGTAGAGGTGGAAACGCGGCAATTAGTATGACGAGCATGACTGCTTAACAGTGAGAACCTTTCCGACGGAAAAGAGGGGTGCCCATGGCTGACAGTTTGCCTTGATGCGCCCAAAGCAGTGTGAGTGCGCTGGCCGCCGAGCCTCCTTCCTGAAGAGACGTGCTCGGGGGGCTGTGCCACTTTTCTCCGGGGGCTGTGAACTCGGTAGCCTTGTTACCTTCGAAATAAAAAGCTAACAGTTGTGGGGGTGACTGAGACATACAGTGTGCCAGTGAGCAAAAGCTGGATAAGAAGCTATTCCTATTTCCCAAGTGTCCTGCCTGAAGACCCAATGACAGGTCAGCAAGTTTCCGTAGGCTTAGATGTGGGTTGTGGGTGCTGAGGCAGTTGAAACGTGGTAGCCACTAGCGTCATGCCCTAGGCTGAAGTACGGGTCTCAGAGCCAATCACGATTCATATGAGAACAGAAACATCTGAAGGTGTAATTTTAGCACCTGCATTAACGTGCTTCTGGACGGGTTCCCGCATAGTCCCCTGTACAAGTGCTTATTAGAAGCCCGCCTTTAGACCAATAGTAGTTGGAAAGGCTGTGAGCAGTAGGCATCGCCATTCGAGGACGTCTCTCGAGTATTCCCGTCGTCCCGACGACCGTTGTGCCTCCTCCTCTGCTCGAGTTGGAAGGAAAGTGAAGCCACCACGAGAGGAACCAAAGAAACGAGCCTAGAAAGATGACAACTCGACCGAATCGGGACTGCCTTTTCTCCACTCTATTGGAGCTGATAGGACATGTCCTTGGAGGCTCGCTTAGCTGACAACGCTTGCATATCTTTCCCATTCATACATCACACCATTAAACATTAAATCTGTCGAAGCCATAACACTCGAGTAACAAACTCTAGTTACGGAGAGGAATGGCATCCAGCAGCTCGGTCATCTGCACATCCTCACCTACAAGATCATGAGTAGTCCGCGGTACCCTTATATCCAGCTCAGTAATCCATGGGTGTCCACCGTGCTGTTGGCGCACACTCCCGGGAGCCGTTTGTGACCGAACACTACGCTGACCTCTAGAGGTAGGTACGACGGCAGAAGAGCTTGAAGAAGTCGCAGTGGCGGGTATGGGCTCCGTCTGGTTGCGATTGCCAGCCGGCCTTCGACTTTGACTTTGAGCAAGGCGACCGTCGATGTTCTGAGCCGGTGTGGTGGAGGTGTTTCCGGTAGCAGTACCGACACTTGAGTAATGTGACGTGACCCCAAAATGCACCTGGCTAGTATAGTTGACACAGATGCTGGCCAAAAGAATCGATAAGGTTCTACGAAGAGAGAAGGGGAGAAAAGGACACCCTCTGGGCAGTCTGGCCGGCTGTCCTAAAGAAGAGACGTGCGCACGCACAGGCCAATGTTGCCTGCCGCGAGAGTAGAGCACTCGCCTGGCAAGATTGCCAGGCATTTCAGCCGCGGGCACTAGCCCCATGACACGTTATGCGATTGGCTTGCCGTACCCATCTAGGACCCATCCTACCCGGCTTGGCACCACATGCTCCACTTCCTTCCTGTATTTATTCTGGCTCGCTTTTGAGACTCAAACTCTTTCCTCTCTCTTACTTCCTATAGTTAATTATTTATTACATTCGTCAGATTTTTCCTATGCCAGCACTCGAGATCTACGTGCCGTGACACTTGGCAGATAACGGACGTTAAATACCCTAGAGTAGAGTAAGTGGAAGGTAGGTCAGAGTTGGGATGAGGAGGTGTAGGCAGGTACGGCAGGCAGGCACGCTGCACGCAGAATGGGCAGGGGCCTGGGACCGCTGAAGTCGCAGTCAAGGTTCAATTCACCACAAGCAAAGTAAACCTATGAATGAAAAGTTCATAGTTTGACATTGAGTGAAATGACTGCACCACTGATAACCGACTCAATGGTCACACGCCAAATTTCACGAGGCGCATGGTTATGTGGAAGCTGTGTCCATGTTAGACAAGGGCAACGAGGCGGGACAAGCGAGGGCCGTGTCTTTGTTGTTGTTGTT